ACTCCGGGGCGTTCGCGTGTCCCGGAGGTGCAAGACCCAATAATGAGAGCTGGGTGGCCGAGGTCGAGAACACTCCACGGAGGCGGCGAACACACCACCCCAAGTCGTACCGATCCCCAGGTCTGTCACGGGCAAGAGGGCCAGGAGCTCTCGGTGGAGACGGCGAACACACCGTCCCGAGATGGAAGATTGGAATCCGGTACCCGCGATTTCCACGGGAGAGACAGCGTACGCACTACCTTGGTCTCTACCGGATGGAAGGATGTCGATTCGGCTGCGAACGCACAGCGGTGACGGCGTACGCACCGTCGCTGTCCCTCGAACTGGGGATCGGATCAGGAGCAGCTTTGACCTTTCGATCCGGCTGACTCCGGTGAAATCAGGTGCCGAGATCGCGGCGGAGCGGTCTTTTACGAGGGCAAGGTGAAAAATTCTCCGCCTGACAATGAAAGACTGTGATTTTCAGTTAAAAGGCGATTTTATTTTCTACATAATCTCCCTTGACTTCAACACACTTGGTCCAGCGTTTCTCCAACATCAGTATTCCTTCCCGGAAGTGAGATTCTGGAAGACTGTTAAAATATTCATTTACGGCTCTCTCAACTTCTTCATTGGACGCGAAGCGCTTTCCAGAAACAAATTTCTTCAGGTTTGGAAGAGATGGAAGTCCGAGGGTGCCAAATTAGGAGAATAGGGGAGATGGCCGAGCAAATCGTACCTCAAATCCCGCAGTTTTCCCATTGCCAACACATTTTTGTGTGCAGGTGCGTTCAGCAAATGCGGCACCCATCTTGCGCAGAGCTTTCGCATACCTAATTCTTCTTGCAAAATATTTCGCACCCTTTCTTCCGATATGCCTACGGCCTCAGCTATCTCACACACCTTTACTCGCCTATCGTCCAACACGATATTGTGGACTTTTTCGATAGTTTCCGGTGTGGTTGCAGTTTTTGGCCGTCCTTCACATGGGTCATCTTTAAGCGACGTGCGACCACGTTTAAATTCAGCTGCCCACTTTTTAACGGTTGAGATTGAAGGAGCAAAGTTCCCGTAAACTTTTGTCAATTCTGGATGAATTTTCTTAGGGGTTAACCTATCCAAAACGAAGAATTTTATGACCGCACGATATTCAGATTTATCCATTTTAACGAAACACGCGCAAGACGTGTACTGCAAAGACT